AACTATATCAAAGCTTATAAAAATAGCGAAACTATATCAAACACTTAGTAAAAATTTAGTGAAACTAAAGGTTTTACTGTTTTGCTAAATCCAAAATAAGTTTAGACAAGCAACCTTAGGTACAATACATTCTTTGTCGATTTGTACCAGCAAAATATAAAATTTCTACTTATCCAAATACCGTCAAATATATAGTCATAAATCCAATAAATCATAAATTCCATATTCATTAACTTTTATTTCGTAATATAAATTTTTCATAATAAACCAAAACCGGACTGATATAATGCTGAATTAGATACAATGTAATAAAAGACAGTCAATTTGTTATAATTTTCATGTCATATAACTGAAATTTTGCCACATTGAATCATATGAATATTTTCCAAAAAGTCTTAATTTTGAAAAATGTTAAATTATGTATGGTGTAACAAACGACAGTAGATTTGTTATAATTTTGTACTGAATTTTAAACACAAGCCGAATTTTTGTCAAATAGTATGACCGAACTGGCTGAATGTTTACCGAAAGGTCATAGTGCTGAAATAATGCTAAATTACGTACAATGTAACAAATGACTATCGAATTTTGTAACACAAACTGAATTTTTGTCAAATAGTATGACTGAATCGGCTGAATATTTACCAAAAGTTATTAGTGCCGAAAGAAATGATTTCGACTAGTAATAGCATTGAAAGCTTTTATTTTACTAATAAATTTATGTGTTAATATTATGACATATTTCTGATTAAATCACATATGCGTTATAATTTGTAATGCTGATCATTTTGTCAAAAAAAAATTCTATTTGATTTATTCATGAAAAAATGCTTTGAAAGAAAAAAAAAAGAAATATCTAAAGACATTTACATATATATCTACATCATGTTCTACTTTTTTTATCACATTATATTGTCTAGATTTGAAAGCTATAGTTATTCAAATAAATATTAATTATTATATTTAATAATTTAGATTATCTAAAATGTAATATAAAAATTTTATAATAAAAAAAAGATAACATGAAAATTATCTTTGAGCTAAAATTTTTAATAATTCAGCTATATGCCGATAATGTCAATCATATATCAATCATAATTTTGAAGATGGCCGCTATGCTTGTCTTATCCTTTAAAGACCCAATGATTATACTGTACCAAGGACTTTTAGCACACTCTTACGATCAGGTTAAAAACTATAAACCAAATGTGAGCAAATAATAAATGCAATCATTGTCATAATTTATTTATTACATTACAATATATTAAATGGTCAATAATTATAATATCTCATTCTAGTCATATATAAAAAAAAATGCATATAAAATTAATACAATACTAACGTGAATTATCCTACTTACATACAATGCTTCAATTATCTCAACTTTTGTATTTCTATATCGATCAATCAAATTTGAATCTTTTTAACACCCTTTCTGGTATTTTCGTCTTTTTTTCACATCTTCTATGTCTTTGTATTCTCTCTTAGCCATAATTTTATCTGCCCAAATTTCACCAATTCCATACACCAATAAGAGATCTCTGCGACTTACTTTATTAATGTTCAAAGGACCTATATCAGCGTAAGCATATGCCCTGCCAGAATATGGACTGAAATATTTGTCCCAATTAGACGCGTCTACAATTCCAGAATTTTTTGGTAGTATGATATCCAAACATTTTGTGGTTATAAACAAAATAAAAAAGTCTTTACTCGATGCAGACTTCTTACGTTCATTTTGTTAAACTTGTGTAGTGAGAGAATTCACTTTTCATCTTTTGTATTGATGGACTTCATTCGGTTTTCCTGACGTATCTAGCTCAAGGAATACATCACCATATGACGCAGATACACCATTAATGATAAAATAATTGCATTCATGCACATCTACAGTTTTGTCTTCACATTTAATATCCTTTTTACCCTTTCCATAGTTTGATGAATTTGTGTCTTCTCGATGTACTACGCATTCCAACTCCAAATGATGATTCTTAAATTCGAAATCACCATTTAAACGTGTTCCAATGTGAATTTTTGAGATCGATGTTAATTCGTCATCATTTAGATTTCTTGATTTTAGTGTGCGAAAAGAAGCAACAAAATGTTCAAAGTATTGCCAGAACTGTGATCCTAGCGGACATTTTGGATTTTTGTTGTTCCTGTGGTCTCCATAGTCGCAGAAGAACCAGTCTCTAAGTATTGGATCCTTGCCATCAGAAGAACTAGTCAAAATCCAAATCCATATGTAAGATAAATCAAAATATCTCATACTGGAATTACTTTTACGAACATAACGAATTAGTTCAGGTTGTACAATATGATCAGAATACTTATTTGTGCCAGGAATATGCTTATCAAATTCCAAAAGATGTCAAGTAAGTGTTGCTTGTACTATAGCTCTAGCTTCACTGGGTGATATCACAAGTGCCTCACAGTACCGGTCATGAAGCCTAACGCATAAATCATTCATCATATCATTGATGTTTACATTTTGAATATCACGGCCTTTTAAGATTTCCTGTAAAACTTCGAGGGCACTCCCATGACCACCACAGTCATTTACCAGCATTTTAATGATATGATCATTTGTTGAAAAGATAGAAGTCACAACGTTATTTTTAATAAAAGTAGGGGATCCAGAGAAGCAATCAGAAAATATACACATTTACAATGTGTGATTTTTAATATATTTTCAACTGGATCAGTGACTGTTGCAGTACACAATAATATTACGAAAGTTCCTTGTATTGCAAGATTATGCAAATTTGTTAAAGTTGTAAAAAATTCGGATGATCAGACATTCCAATCATTCTTCGAATTCATTATGTTTTGTAGGCCATCAATGATCAAAAAAATTGGCATGTCTTCCAATTTACGATTTTCATATTTGGATACTAATTCAAAATCCTCCTATGGTAACGGTGCTTCGTAATTAGAAATGATCAGATCTAAATTTTGATCAGAAAGTAGTTGGTTAAGCATTTGAGTACCAATAGCTCTGTACACACTTTGTTTCACATTGCTTCTCAAGTTACTTCCATTCTCAAAGCCAACGCTGAATACAAAAGCATTCTCAATTATTTTTCTCAGTTTGAGATCCTTATCTTCTGAAAGGCAATCAATTGATGTTCTATGAAATTCTTCAGCGTTTCTTGATTTGCTCATGCCAGCACCTGAAAGGAATAAGTATATCGGAATATATGTTTTATCAATTTTTTTCTGAAGAAAATATTTATAATGTTCTTTGAGCTTATATTGCAACTCTTTATATAACGTTTTTGCTGATTGATAGGTCCATTCTGAACCAGTACAATAAAGTAACAGTTTTGGTTTTATAAATTGTAAGCCTATTGGAATAGTGAAATGTTAATCAGTCACAACGTAAATTCTTGGATGTCTAAAATAACTAAATACATACCGTTGAGAAAATCATCCATAATTTTAATTTTTGTTCTATCTCTCTCTCTCTCTTTCTCCTCTCTCTCTCCCTTACCCCCTCTTTCTCTCTCTCTTTCTTTCTCTCTTTCTCTCTCTCTCTCTCTCCCTCTCCTTCTCTCTCTCTCATGCTAAAGAATAAAAATTGTAAGTCCATTCGTGTTAACCAATCATTATGACGCAAAGGCTTACCTTGTTATAGTTCATCTAAATTGGATTAAGAGGAAACCAAAAAAGGCAACGTTAATTACTAGGCAATAATATTAGGTCATTTGACAAGTAAAACCAACTTACTGCTAATTTGAAAGGCTTCGTTAACTTATTCAGGTGTTGCTTCAGGAAAATGTTTTAAGTAATAGTCGAGAAATTCTAAGAATTCCATCTTATATTATTTAGTTGTAGCTATAAAGTTTTTGGTTTTGGAAGAAAGAAAGTAATAATAAAAATAAAATGAAAAACGTGAGATTTATATATGATTTTACTATCAAGCTATGTGAGCACGTCTACGCGTTTTGTAAGTCTGAAGTATGAGATTTGTATTAAAATTAGTATTTATTTTAATCATTAAAAAAAATCGAGTAATGGTGAAACATTTTTATTCAATTTATTTTCTCAAAATATGATTTAAATTTCGTCATATTGCGTTATTTATAGTAAGATAAAAAAGAGGGAGGGAGTATGCGGATCCTAGTATTGCATTCAGTTCTTTAGAGTTTATATTTATAAACGAATGTATAATATTTTAATTATGTAATAATTATGCAAAAATTATTTAATAAAAACTAATAAATCAGTACTGCCTCAAACGTCGGCACTCTGTACTTTACGGAGTTAATTTTATTAAATGTTAATCCTACGAAATTACTACAATCATTAAAATATCAAAATAAAGGAATATCGAAGAAATTATATTTTATTAAAAATATCATATGCACTACTTTTTTTCTAGCCCAAATATCAATCCATCCCTTTTATACATTATTTTCGCTGGGACAATTTGCCTAGAAGACAAATTGACTAGAGATCGTTTTCAATTTGTCCTGTGGTCAACTTGCCAAGTGGTCAATTTGGACTTACGCTGATTAAGCAACAATATAATCAGGATTAGCTTAATTTTTATTAAAAATATTATTATATCACATGATCACATGCGTAATAATTTAATTGCCATTGTAACACTAGGCCATTTAATACATAGCATCACATTATTTTTTTGCTCTTTCACATTTTTGGAAAATATCTATAACTAATTTTGTTTTTATCGATATATCTAACTATTTTATATCTGCTAATGATAAATCCATTAGATCCGTATTTATAAAATTTTTGTATATTTTCTCAATCCCATTCACACAGATCGTATGAAGAATTAAATTCTGCAAGAGCACTTCTCTGAAATAGTGTAAACCTACAGTATAAATTCGGGAGATTAGTAATGACAATTCACTCTGAGGTAAATAAGCAAAAAGATATTCTTACTTTTGTAGCTTTTGTTTTGGATATTGAGACACTCCATCCTTCCTTGCATCCAGGAAATTTATTGCGAATTCTTTTTGATAGAATTCTTACTGTAATTACAATACTGCGCACGGACTTTCTAATATCACGTCAAATTTCGTGACATGTGATTAAAATCAAGTGAGATATAATGAGATACATATTGATTTTCTCAGCGATCAAATGTGTTAGAAAGAAGATCAATAAGTCCGCTTTGACTCTATACATCTATAAAGCCAGAAACAATGATTAGCATCGTGATGATATTCTTCTAGAAGCTAGCTGAGCAATAAACCAACATATATTATTACTACTTTGCGGATTATACTCATTCGTTTGATTGTAAATACTATAATGTAAATTATGGTAATTTTGAATGTTTCATTTATTTTTTGTTTATTATTTGCACAAGCCGGATAAAAGATTCACTAACTGGGATGGACACTTTTTATATAATTTTACTAGGTCTAGAATCGGTAGGGCTTTCGGAATAACGTCTTTAGATAATCGCATCACGAAGAACTGACATTAGTGACTGCTCCTATTCATTGAAATTGTGCTACCCCTTCCCTATTCTATGTATTCGCAAAAAAGAAAAAAATCAGAATAATATTTTATACGCGTAATATTAAATGCGCTAACGTCAAAAGAATAATACATTCCGAGATCTGTAATCATCATATGAGTGTATGACATATAAATTTGGAGGCGGTTTTTATTATGTCATAACTTTCGAGCAAAATAAAAAAACATAATGAATGCAACTTGGATTCTATTAATAGATCGTATTGCGCTAAAATAAATACACTGCAGTTATCATGATACAATGTGTAATCAAATTTTTATTAATAGACTAGGAAACTTAATATTAATGACTGCATACTATATATATGGTACTTCTATAATAATTAGAATTAAATCCCCCTATTACTACAATTCTCATCATTAAAATAATCTATATTTTTAGTTATATAGTTTGTTGATCATTTCATTAGTCAAAAATTTTATGTAGTCTAATATAAAATACTGATTGATCAACTTTAAACTAACCTATTATTACAATAAATTTTTGATATTATATAAGAAGATTAAATAGATTAAATTATTTTTTGATTTATAAGAAAATATTTCTCTCATGAGATTAGTTTTTTTAAATCTTAAATATTAATATTATTATTAATTTAATTTTTGATTAAATTAATATTATAATTATAAAGCTAAAAATTTGAATTTAAACTAACCTATCAGATTAAAGTTCACATTTTTGTTAGAAATGATATATAAAATTTCATATTAGATTAAAAATCAATAAATTTTGAAAGTAATGAAATTTTTTTTAAAAGAAAAAAATGAAAAATTTACTTTTGATTAATCATTTAATCTAAAATTTCAGGTTTTTATAAACATTTAAAAAGAAAATAAAAAAATATTTTTTAAAAAAATAATAATAAATATATCTTATTTTATCTAGAATTTCAAAAATTTAGCATTTATAAAGTAGATTCAAAAATTAATAAATACCTTTTAATATATATTTATTAAAGATATTTAATATACAATTTAGCATTATAGTAGTATATTCATATTATCTTGATAATTTGAAATTTTGGTAATCAATATTATAGCAAATTAATTATTTTATTGCCATAATATTTTAGCATTATTTTAATATTATAATCTAATCAATTTCTGATCCAATTCTATTTCTATTTATCATGAATTACATCAACTTGAAGAAATATAAAAAAGTTAAAACAATTATAATAATAAAAGAATTATATTGAATATTTAAATAATCGAATGAGAAATTGGATTAAGCAAAGCAAATTTCTAGAAAAAATATATTCTACAAATATACAAACAAGTTAGCATTCATTATTAAATGATAATTAGATGCTTGAGGTTGGATTCTTAACTTCTTTTATATTCACAAAAATAGATTATTATAATAATATCATATTTTCAACAAACTTTATCTTTTATAATATTAAATCCTTTATTCATATCCATTTACTTACAAATAATTAACAGGTATTCCAATATGATAAAATTATTCTGATAAACTGTGTTGTAAAGTCAGTTTCAGCCCTATTAAAATCATAGTCTAATAGGTTACACTAACTATATGGCTAAAGTATGTGGCATATTTTTTTCAAAAAAGCGTTTGTTACATTTTACTGCAAAAAACCCAACCCACCGCTCTAAATAAACTTGAGAACAAGCAAAAATACACATATATAATTTTTAAGTCTAGCGCATGCGACGATCATTTGTCGATCATTCCAAAAAATGTAATTTAAAGTACTTAAATCCGGCGGCGTAACTTGTCTCACATTAAAAATTGATTAGCCGGTTCAACTGGGAATACAAACTGTATTTTGACGAAAATGGTAAGTAAACACGATTGTAGGTTATAAGCGTAATGGTATTCTCGGCACGTTCTCTTAATAATATATATCTTATCATTGGGAAAGATTTTATCTTGCAGTTGGGGCTTTGAATTGGAAGTCATTACGATGTTGAGAAGAGAAAGGGTAAATGGAAAGGGTGAGTTCACTGAGTTATTTGTCGAGTCGTTGTGTATTTGAAGTACTTTGCCACAAGATGTAAAACGTCAGGAAATGAAAGCTTTTCGTGGCCACAGTTTCGGCTGTGAACGTTCTTTCCCGTTTCTGTTGTCCCCGCATGGTAACCCTCCCTGGGGGATT